ATAGATAACTGATAGATGATGGAGAGATAGATAGATAGATAAATAGATAGATAACTGATAGATGAATACATACATGCAAGTATACATAGGCAAATGGGAAAAGAATGATTTTATGAGAGAGTTCAACCTCAAGCTTAAGAGATGCTGCTGAGGGGAAAATGTGGTTCTGAAAAAGGGGGAAAGGAGGTGCAGCCTCTGGAAGTGACAGTATTGACAAGAAGATTCCGGGCCCTAAAGGTGGTGGCAATGCAGTAAAGGTCAGACACATTTTTGGGGAAAAACATGGCAAAATCATGGAAGTTGTGGAAAAGTTAAAGTCTGTTATGAAAGTCAATGAAGTGGCCACACAATACAGAGAAGACAAAGCCAGGCAAGGGGGTGACCTGGATTGGCTGACCAGAGGGTCCATGGTAGGACCATCTCAAGAAGCAGCATTTGCCTTGCCTGTAAGTGGGATGGATAAACCTATGTTTACAGAAAAAAATTAGATATCATATTATTCTGGTTGAAGGAAGAAAATAAATGCACATGAAAGACAAAAAAGGATAATTTTATGAGAATAAATATCTTTCACTCTAAAATGGTTGTTTCTAAAGCAATGCTTAGAACCATGGTCAAAATTTGGATGGCGATCCAGGTATTTAAATGAAAGTCAAGACTGAGTAATAACTTAATACTCTTGAGTAAGGTAGCCCAAGGAAAGCCATGTCATAGATGAATGTACATAGCCAAGGTTAATACCTAACTCATGACAAGCACAATGAAGAACTTTCTATAGGAAAATCTCTCTTTCATCTTATGAAACCAGAATTTCACTGCCTGGGCTACCAGGATTTCTTTCTTCGTTTCCTTTTTCTTACACATCCCAAGACAGTCTTAAGGTCTTCCCATAGCCAAGGATGGCCTTGAACTTCTGACCTCCTGTGTCTTCCTCCTGAGTTCTGGGGTTACAGGTGTACTGCACCCAGAGCTGATGGACTCTAAGGAAGCACTGTACTTGAAGTCACGGCTTCAACCCCATCCAGCTTCTGCAGTACAGGACTGGAGAAAGAGCTGAGTGGTCCTCCTGGGTCATTTCCAGGCAGACATGAAATCAACCAGACTCACTTCCAATTACATCCCAGTTCTCAGAACCAGTCAATGGGTCCACTTAAATGTAAACAAGGCTGGAAAACTAAGGCAAGGAAGGACTGATGTTTCCTTAGGAAAATTATCTGTTGCCATGAGTTCCCTTCTAACTCCTGTTTAGTAAAAACCCTGCACCTTCTATCAAAAATTACTTTATAAAAGGGAGTAGAATTGGATATGCACCCAGACTTCTGCACAACACATCATGAATCAGCTAACTATTTAGGGTTTTCACTTGCCTATTCTAAATCTATACAGATCCTATTACTATCTCAATTAATTTTTCCATTAAATTTCTAAAAAAGCATCACAAAATTTTTTCTTTGCAGCAGAAATGATGGCAAAAGTTGGCTGTATACTTTTTGTTTATTTGGTGGGGGGAGAGATGAGGGCATTTGTTTATTCTTTTATTTAAATTCTGAATTTTTTTGAGAATTTCATACATGAATACTGTATTTACATTATTTCTACCATTTCCTCTCCCTTCTCCAACTCCCCTTGTGTTTCAATATTTCTTGCCAAATTCATTTCCTCTTCTTCTTCAAGTAAATACATATATTTATTTATATATTTATATATAACATAATTTTAATATAAATAGATAGGTATATCTTTCAAGTAAATATCTACATATAGTATATACACACACACATAATTATATCTTGTAGAGTCCACTTAGTGTTTGTATTTGCATTTAGGGCTGACCGCTCGAGATTGTATGGCTTATCAGGGATCCTGTCTCAGCGGCCATTGCTAGCCTGGCGCTCTTCTTCTAGGGGTAGAGCCTTGTGATAGCCTAGTGATTGCTATCCTATCCAGGCTGGCCTATCAGCTGGTGTCGTCACTGTGTTAGTCTGGTTTAAGCAGCCATATTGTTTTGATTTCACGGTGGTAACTCCCCTGCCACATGCAGGAGACCCTATCCACAGCAGGTGTTCTGGGCCTTTGGCTCCATAAAATATCTCCACTTCCCTGAGCCTCGCGTATAAGGGTTGTGTTGCAGATGGCTCAGTTGGGACTGCATTGTTCTCGGCATTGATCAGTTGTGAATTTCTGTAATAATCACCTTCTGCGACAAAAAGAGCATTTTATATGGGTGAGAGATACACCCTAAGTATTTAGAATGCAGTTAAAAATTATATTAGTTTAGGAAAGTGGTAGCCATAGGTTTTCCTTTACTATCCATGACTTTAACACGCATGGGTAGTTGGCTATGTTTACAAATCCAGACATGGATTCTTACCTCTTGAATGAGCCTTAGATCCAATAAGATGACTATTGATTTCCCCAAGACATAAGTACCCATACTGAACCATTAGTGATATCTTATCAAGCTGACTTCAGATGTGAGTATATAACCTGGAGCAACTGCAGAAATAAGGTAAGTCCAAAACGACTGTGACCGAAGAGATGCTTAAGAGGTGTAGCAGGACACGGGACCTAGAGAGAAATGGGTGGGAAACTTTAACTGTAAGGTGGAGAGAAAGGTAATATAGAGGAAAATATGAAGAACAGATAACACTAAGAATATTTGAAAAGACCATAGGGAAACAGTATTTTATGTTTACTTAAAAGGGCAGTGTGTGTGTGTGTGTGTGTGTGTGTGTGTGTGTGTGTGAAGTTATACCACTTAAAGTGATAATGACCTTCGAGAGTCGAGGAGACTCTCTAAAACAGACCCCAGCATCAGGATGGAAGCCTCCCCTGAAGTGGTTGATCAGGATAGTCCAAGAGATTCCTCAAACAACACAGGTGATCCCCATCGCCCTTGGTTGCTTCCCAGAACTTAAAGGTGAGGCCCTACTGCTGAACGCACCACACACTTCAGACACAGGGCTTGGAGAAATCAATTAGGAACTGACCTCGAAGCTTCCTCCCTGAAGACTGACTTTTCCAGCATTTAAAGGTGCAATGCCAGCTCCGAGGGAGAAAAGCAGTCTTTCGTACTAGCCAGTTGTAAGGCAACAACCCACAACAATGGCCAGCCCCACTTTTTAGTCTTGATTGTGAATTTGGGAAATTACTCAACAGCAGGTAAACAGAATGCCCCTATCACAGCGTTCACGCTTTAAGAGAAAAACATCTCCTCAAAAAAGAAGTTAATAAATTTCTGACATTCCAAGGTGTCAAAGGAAGCAATCTGACGTCTGCGAGCCGGAAAAAAAACATTTTCTTGGCCCTGGCTGCTCCTACGCACCAAGGTCACCAAGAACATTATCAGAACTCCAAAATAAATGAAATCAAAAATGCTATTTTAAATTATATCCTGCATCCCAAAGCTACAAAATGGCTCATGAAGATGTGCACAGTTTCTCCCGCTTGTTTGAAAATCTTGGATAAGGGATTGTGGAACACAAACACTAAAATACTCCAATAAATGTATTACAAAGTTTGTGAAATTTAATGGTATTGCATAATAGATAGGAGATTACCAAGAAATTGGAAATAGAGTAATTTTACAGAGCTTAATATTCACAGATTAGCTTGTCAGATAATGACCACGGAGAACGGAGTATTAAAATGGAGACTGCGTCTTTAGCATCATCGTAGCACATCAAAATGACTTAAACATGATCGGACTATCACTGAAATGACCAGGTAGATTTGGGGTTTTCTGACAAGGAAAGCAAGGGTGAGCACCTCTCTTATAGATTACCTGGTTCCCTGGCTGACTGCTGGTTTTTGCTTTGCACATGAGGAGTGAGCTGGAATCTACTGAGAAAAGAAGCTTCCTGGAAAATTCACCTTCCTCCTAAAGAGATGGCAGTAGAATGCCATTGCTTCCCGGAGAGCACATGTGAAGGACTATGTTAGCTGGTGGAGCGACAGAATGTTCTTTACGGACTGTCTTTGCCTGTGTCTTCTGATCCCCAATAATCAGATCAAGATGTGTTGCATGCACCCTAACAAAATGCGGGGCAATTGTTACTGCCGCTTTTTAATGCAGACTGAATCTTTCCTTTATTAGCTAAGTGTAGAAAAGACAAGAAGCCTCTCAAAAGATTTTGCTGTAAAGTAGTCCCAAGGGAAACCTGCTCTTCCAGGAATCTCAGCATCCTGGGGTTTTTAGTTCTACCCTTTGAAGAAATGTTTATCTAGTCGTAAAACCGTACAATGAAATGAAGACGTAGGAACATAAGTTACTTCTTTCTATTTTTTAAAAAGAAATGCATCCAAAGCAAAGAACAGACAAGCAGGGTGTCAGTGCATACCGAGCCTCCTGAAAACCCCTTCTCTGGGGAGTGTTTACAAATAGCAAGCAGGACAAGACAAGCCCTAGTCCTCTGGTTTCAACAATCTGTACCAACTCAGAGCTGTGTTCATTCTGAAGATGAATCCGGGAAGTAGGCGCCTTTCTCTGCCGCAATGACTGTGGGCAGTGTACACAGAGGACTGGAGAGTCACTCCTGAGGTGCGTGTGTTTTCAGAACTAAGGGACTGAGCCTTTCCGCCACTTCCCACCCTCTGCTGGCCTGGCCTTTCATGCAGGCAGGAAGGAAATGGCTGACAACTTTCTCATCTTTATGGAAGGCAAACTTTATTTCCAGCTACCAGGTCAAAAGGTGGCGGAAAGAAAACAGAACCCCTAAGAGATAAAGGCTAAAAATAGCCACCTGTGAGGTGAATCAGCCCAGTTGGGGATCCTGAAGACAGCAACAAGGCAAGGATGTGCGTAGGGCGGGATCTGCGTCATCCTTAACAGGTGGTCATGACCAGAGTCAAGAAGCCCAGGCAGAGAGGAAGGATCTCTGCAAACAGGTGTGCTGGGAGATGGAGGGGGGAGGCAGGCGAAGGGGGGCGGGAGAGGAAAAAGCCACTGGAACAAGCCTGGGCGAGGAGCCCAGACCCTTTCCCGGCAGGCCACCTCTAGGAAAGCCCACGACTTGGACTTGGGCATGAGATCGGAAGGATCTAAATTTGAGTTGGGTTTTTGAGGTTTTGGGTGATCAACTTGGCGTTTAAAATAGACATGGATGTGTTGATGCAGCCAGGGTTTCTTTCTTTCTTTGTTGTCAAGTGTCACATTAGTGGAGACAAATCTGTGTGTGATTCACAGACCAGCATCGTAAAGATACACGAGTCTTCATTTGGCGATTTCCTATTTTATAGAAAGCAAAGGTAGAATAAAAAGTGGATGCCCATCGCCTATGGGTTTTGATAATGAGTTTAACAGTGATCTTTTTTATTCAAATATCACTTACATTGTGCTTTTAGCAGCATCCCAATTTGGGCACACAGCCATCCTAGGACACAGATCAAGCAGTTAAGTTAATATATCATATTTTACAAGTTGGAAGCCTGAGGTCAAGTAAGTTAAAGGATTAGATTGCAAGTGTTTTTCTACACTGAGATAGATCTC